GGAGGGGGCATAAGGGGAAAAAAAAAAAAAAAAAAAATCGGCTCCGTGTGTCGAAAGACAGAGGGGGGAGAGCAGCGTGGCTGGAGATTTTGTAATTCTTCCTGGCCTTTGTGCTGTTTTAGCTCCTTTAACAGCAATTGGCAATAAGGCTGGAGTGCACGTCTGGTTCCTATTATTATTATATTATGGGATTTTTTTTTTTTTGCATCCTGCAGTGTTTTATTATTTTTTGTGGTGCAGAAATATGCTCTGATCAGAGAGGGGTATCTCGCTTGAATTTAGCTGGAAGGTCTGAAAGAGCCAATGTGAGAAAGTTTTGCAGCGCTGCAGACGCTGCTTTTGGATTTCTGCTGGTTTATTGTCGCTTGCGACCAAGGTGGTATATTTGGGAGAGTGGCAAATGGCGAATTTACGATAATTAAGTCAAGTGGAAGGAAGCGAAGGAGCCAAAAAAGGGGCTTTGATTTTTTTCTGTCTATAACTTCTAACTTTGCGTGTGTGTGCGTTAAGCGCAGAGGGTCTGGATGTGCAGCGCCCGCTCGCTGCAGCTTCCCCGTGCCTCTCTCTGCCCCCTCGCACCCTTCACTATTAAAAATTAAGGGGTGAAGAGGGGGGGGTCTGCACCTTTCTGCCCTCCGTTTCCAAAAAGCCACTTCTCCCTCGGGGCTCGGGCTATTTTCCTCTCTTTCTGCGGCCGGGCGCTTGCAAGGAAACGGAAAGAAAATGTGTGTACAGAGAGTAGACTTTGCTTTGGGACTTATCAGCAGGGCTGTTCGCCCTGGTCTATCAGCTGGGGCCGGCGTGGTTGAAGGACAGAAATGAGCATATTTGTCTGATTGCCATGAAATACAGATAAAATATAACCTATGAGAGTATAGAACTGAGATATGCAATCTATATTCACCTATTGCAAATTAAAAGAGTAAGGAGAAAAAACCCAAATCTTGCACCACAGAAGAGCATTCTTCAAATCTGGTGCCACCACACAACTGAAAGAGGAGGCTACACAAAAAGTTCATTTGCTATTAAAATGCTCTCTTAAGGTAATCCCTTTTCATCATACACTTTGGAGCCTTCAGGGACATAATGGCTCAAAGACGTGAGTTGCAAACTAATATTCAAACAGATCACCTCACTGCTTCTGGAAAACAGATACTACTGGACTGAAGCAAATACCACATTAAAATACAATTGTTCCCTAAACAAAATTTCTTTTGTTTAAAACCAAGAGAATCTGAACAGGTGAATGCTGTAACTCAGCTTGTGAATACCAGAGAGACAACAAGGTAGGTGCTCAGGGGACTGCAAGTGTGTCACTGGGAATTTAGCAGGTGCATGAGGGGCAGGGCAGATACTGGAAGCATGGACTCGTGGAGCGCAATGACACACACAGTCACGCTGTATGGAAAGACACTGGATAATCTTAGATTGGTAGATGTTACTGACAACACTGCTTGGACACCCCCCCCCCAAAAAAAAAAATCAGCTCGCTCCTGGCACCCCCAAGTGCTCCGACACACACGCGGACGCGGAGCATAATGCAATTATATAAAGTATTTTATTATAGCAAGGGGGTGGGTATGATTCCTTTGCGGTTTAATTATGGCATTTAAAGAGTTCTAAGCGCAGGCATAACTTGCATGGATCGCATTGCACGGCCAAATTAATTCCGATGCGGTGGCAGCGACACGGGGCTCTTTCATTGCCCCCACAGCCCGGGTCACCGGCCAGCCCGGCCGGGGGCTTGGGTGCGAGCTGCCTCCAAACCGGCTCGGGAAAACACAGAGATTCATCCCAAAACCAGGGAAACCAGGGACCTTTGCCCCCTGCCCTGTCCTCCTCTTGCCGGGGTCCTGCTGGCGCTGGGGGAACCCGGGAGAGGGTTTTTTTGCTGTTGTTTTTAACACAAAATCTCCTTATTTCTGCCCCAACCCCTTCCCTGTCGTGGTTTTGTTGTTTTTTTGTTTTTTTTTTTCTCCATCCTATAGATCACTCAGTTAAAAATTGACAACAACCCCTTTGCCAAAGGTTTTCGGGACACCGGGAATGGAAGGAGGGAAAAAAGGTGAGTCTGGGTAGATGATATATAAGCGCCTCGTTTGGTTTTCGTGTGTAAATCTCAGAACATGAGCAGAGGTCAAAATCACCTCGCCTTGCCTCCAAACCGCACTTCTCCCTCCCCCCTCCCCAAATTCATAAGGATCTTGTCGTTAATAACGCCAAACTGATTGCATGGGAATTCTTTCCTGCTTTCCACGTTTATTTTTTACATCGCAGGGGATGGCTGGCCAAAGGGATGTTGGTGCATTAAGCAAATATCACCGGAGAAAGAAGTTTCCCGTAATTTTTTGAGGGGAAGATGACACTGTAGTTTGTATTTGGGCTGGGAAAGAGGGAGAAGTGAGGGCAGAGCTGACCGCTGGTTGAATCTCCTCTGGCATTTTCCCGGGGACTGTATCGAAAAGACTAAAGTGTGGAGGAGAAACATATAAATAAACTGTTTTGACAGAGGTGTCTCGTGAATATGGAAGTAATTAATGGTAGAAGATTCTTTATTTTTTCCAAAAGCAGCAGGACACAGTTTGTGCCCCAGGTAGACAGACGGACAGAACTCGTTTTAATTGGACTCAAGATTTTTATTTTTGACGTTGGAGAAAATAGAGAAAGGGATGATTTTTTTTCCTTTGATGGGGGATATGTCTTTGTTTTGTTACAGCAGACGGGATATTTTAGCCATTTGCACTCAGGTTCAGATAATGAATAAATCTGTCTGGGTTTTTTTGTTTAAAAAAAAAAGGGGGGGGGGGGGAAAGAAGAGGCCTTTCTCCCCGCCCCGCACCGAGCCCCGCCCACACACACACACACACACACACACACACACACACACACACGTGCGCGCGCCAGCTCCTCTTGTCCGTCAGTGTGAAAATAAAGCCAAGGCTGGAGCCACAGGGCGGAAATGATTTCTAATTTCTCTCTAAATATAAATAGATTTTTACTCCGGGTTAATTGTTGGTGAAAAGATTACATAAAGTGCCTAACAAAATAACCACTTCCTAGCAATCTTAGCAACCATTAAGATGGCTCATATCTCTGGAACATCCTCGCCTTTTAAAAGCTAATCTCCAGGGAATGCTTCCCTCTCCCCTCCGCCCCTTGTCTTTAATATCTGCCCTTGCTGAGGAGCTGCTCACCGCTTCCAAGAAATCTCTTATTAGCAGCCAAGTCCTGCCTGCGAGAAACGCGTTCCCCCCTCGAGGGGACCTTGGCCCTTAATTCCCCTGCCCCAGTCATCCCCAAATAGGAACTCAAGAAGGGGCTGGGGAAGGGATAGGGGGTGCCGGGGGGGGGGTGGTGGTGTCTGTGTGTGCCGGGGGGGTGCCGGGGGTCCGCTCGCCCAGCGGGTGCGTCTGCCCGTAGGAAGCAGCTGACCCTGCAGTCCATGCGGGTGTACGACGAGAGGCAGAAGAAGGAAAACCCCACCTCGGACGAGTCGTCCAACGAGCAGACAGCCTTCAAGTGCTTCGCCCAGTCCTCCTGCCCCGCCGTGCCCGCCGTCGGCACCTCCAGCCTCAAAGGTGAGAGCCGCGGCCCCCGGGTCCCCCCGGGGAGAGCCTGGGCGCCTGCTCTGCGGGGGGACGGATCCCGGCCTGTACCGCTGCCCTCTGGCACCAGCGTTTCTTCCTTCTTTCCTTCCTTCTTTCCTTCCTTTATCTTTCCTTCTTTTCTCTTTTTTTCCCATTTTCTCTCTTTGCTCTCTTCTCTCCTCTCTCTTTCATCTTGCTTCTTTCTCTTCTTTCTCTCTTTTCTTTTCCCCTCCCTCTCTGTCCTTCGTGCACTCTTTATCTTTTTCTTTGTCTCTCTCTTTCCTTCTTTCCCTTCTTTCCCTTCTTTCCCTTCTTTCCCTTCTTTCCCTTCTTTCCCTTCTTTCCCTTCTTTCCCTTCTTTCCCTTCTTTCCCTTCTTTCCCTTCTTTCCCTTCTTTCCCTTCTTTCCCTTCTTTCCCTTCTTTCCCTTCTTTTCCTTCTTTCCCTTCTTTCCCTTCTTTCCCTTCTTTCCCTTCTTTCCCTTCTTTCCCTTCTTTCCCTTCTTTTCCTTTTTCTCTCACTCTCCTTCTTGCTTGCTTTCTTTTTCTTTCTTTTTCTTTCCCTCTCCCCCTCTTTTTCTCTCTCTTTCTCCCTCTCTGCCCTTCTCACTGTTTCCCTCGCACTTTCTTTCTCTCCTTCTCCCTCGCCCCCCCGGCCTCCCTCTCCTCCCACTGCACGTTCATTCCTCCCCTCCTCGGTTCAGAAAGGAGCCAGCTCCGAGTCAAGGGAGCAAAGACAGACCACGGGGCAAAAGTTCAAAACTGGAGTCACTCCATTAATATTCCTCTCTGAATCTGTTATTAGAGGAAGGATCTTTCCCCTGGATACAGTCCCGAACTTTGTTATAGAAAAGTCACCCTCGATTTCTCGGCGTGCGGGGCTGGGAGCTGTCTGCAGCTCTCTCACATGTATTAATCCAGCCAGGGGCGGGGGGTGCAGGGGGAGGAGGAAACAACCTCTTTTTTGTTGTTGCTTTACTCGTTTGTTTAAAGTCCTGCCGAGCTGAGGGGAGGGGAGCGGAGCTGGGAGGGGACCCGAAAAGCAAACCAGAGCTTCGCACCTGGGGCGCTGAAATTAGGAGATGAAGTGCAGAGGAATCCGGCGAAGCCGTGCATGCGTTTGGGGAGGAGGAGGAGGAGGGGGGTCCAGAGGGTGATGGAGGTCGGGGTGTGTGTGTGTTTTCAAAGTTTGCCCGTTGAAAGGGCTGAAAACTTTGGAAAAGTTCGTAGGAGACACA